CCACTTGTCCAAAACGGATAAATTCGATTGTTTCATTAAAATATGAGTCTTGCATCAGAACAAATTCACAGCGAGTTTTTCTAAAATACCATTCTCCCGATATTTCAAAAAAGATAATTTTTTTGAAGAACTTTGACCATCAATAGCAGAGGAGCCAGACAGTTTTTGTTAAGAAAAGTTAGATAAGATCGTCTTCTTTTGGTGCAAAGAATATTGCAGTATCCTTTTGATCATGTGCTTACGGGATGCCCTGCAGATATACATTTATTTACTTACCTTCCTCTGTTTCTATTTAAAGATAACATCCACCACCTTCTAGCACGTCTTTTAGGTTTTTTTTGTCAATTAATAAATTCACACAACTAAAAACTACTACCGTTGCGGCTATAACTGCAGCATCAGCAGTATCCTCCATATTGACGAATGTAGACAAACGTTTGAACCACACTTCAAAATGAATTTTGCTTCAAGCATTCGACACATCGTGTAGCAGATACATTTGCCGCACGAACTGTCAAACTTTTTGACTCAAATGTTCGGTCCAACGTTGGAACGAATGTTCGACGCACCGTGTAGCGCCGGTTTAAGGTACGATCAACTCTAACGTTCAAATGTAACAGTGTGGCCAAAATTGGAAATATGATAAAGCAGTTAGATAAAACTGTGGTCAAGGTATACGTACAAGAAAGGTGATGGTACAAGAAATGAAAGGGTGACGTTTCTTCGATATCACTTGCGAGTGTATTTTTTAAGAAAAATAGTGTTATTAGCGAATAATAATCTTACTCCTTTCTAAAATATTTCAGTTTACATAACCTGTAATTATTACAAGTAAGTCCTAATAAAAACAGAACGTACAAGACCTAATATGTCAAAAATATTATGCATGCTCTTTTGCGGAATTATGTATTGTGGACGTGCACTCTATGTACGAATTAAGCTGATCGAAATGCCAGTGAGGCTGGTAGACTACATGCAGGCCTTTTCAAGAATAGACGGGTTTCAGATTGGAAGCCTTTATTCCGGATTGATAAGCGGTACTAGAAAAGATCATAATGCTCTTTAACTGGCACAATGCAATCCTAATGCTACTCCATGAGAAACGTGATATAGCGGAACTTGAGAACCGATTTGCCTTCTGAGCCACCTCAATAAACTGTTCACAAAAATAATAACAACGAGAATTGGGCAAAAAAACTGGAAATCTATCAATCTCTGGAGCAGGCGGGCTTCCGTGCTAAATTTGGAGCAAACGACCATCTACAGAGCATAAACACGGTGATTGAAAAAAGCATTTGAAACTGTTGAACTGACTGCGGTCTTCAGTGCATTACAGGAGTGTCGAGTTGATTACAGATACTCAAAACTTCTTCATTCCTGATTTTAAGCGAATCGCCTGTTCAATTGCCGTTCACTTGCGTGAGACTGTTCGCTCCATCGTTCCCTGGGGCGCCCAACGTCTCTTCGTCCCAATGGGGACTTGTCGCGAGCGATCCTCACAAGTCTACGGTGGGCAATCCTGCTTATGTATGTACCCATTCATTGATGTTCTTGACATTACAGGCTGTCCTGACATCCTCGCTTCTCTCTCTATCCAGCAGTGTCTTTCCGGTGATCCTAAGGAGTATTTTCATGTCAGCTGTCTCTGGTAGTCTTTTTGTTTTCGCTGTTTCTGACCTGGTTTCTGCAGTATTTGTCATCACCGGCCTCACGACGGCTTGGTAGATCCAGTGTCCGTTCCCATACTCTTATTGCACCATATGGCATTCAGTCAACCAGCTATTCTAATTGCTTTTGTTTTTTGACCTCTCACCTCTGCCTCAATATCCCCAAAGCCAGGAAGTTCAAGACCAGGTTGTTAAATTTCATTTTCTGCTCAATTTCTCTACCGTCAAGCTCAAGTTTGCAACTTAGTTTTTGAAGTTGTTAAGGACTTTGTTTTGGTCGGTGATATTTCCATATTTAGAGACTTGGCTGTCAGGTTGAATAAGTGTAATAACCTTTGTAAGTGATCTTCACTTTCTGCAATGAGAGCAGCATCGTCAGCATAACACACTATTTTGATTTCTGCATCCCCCATTTTGTATCCCTTTAGCCCTCGAACACTTCGAACAATTTCTTCCATTATTAAATTAAAAAGGGTAAGACTCAGGAAGTCTCCCTGACGAATTCCGCTACCCGCCGGTATTGGTTCTGTGAGGTCTTCTTCTATTTGTGCTCGTATTTTATTGTTTGTATACATGTTGTCTATGGTTTTAATGAGATTGTGTGGGATTTGCCTGGTGTAAAAGAAATGCAGGATGTCTTTCAGCTGGACACGGTCAAATGCTCTGTTAGGTCAACAAAACATATAAAGGCTGGCTTGTTTTATTCAATCGACTTCTCGACTATCTGTCTTAATACGAACACGGTGTCTGTGCGATGGTCGATACTTAACAAATCTACGTTTTGCGGACAACTCAGTTTTGCTCTCAGATAACGTTAAAGACATACAAGATATGTTACAAGAACTACAAAAGGTATGTGCTGACGTAGGTCTAAAAATGAATATTTTAAAAATAAAATATATGAGAAATTTAGCTCCCAGTGAGCAAAGTTTCATTGGTGAGGAGGAAGTAGCTCTGGTGGATAAGTACAATTATCTGGGCCATGAAATCCAAATCTCACGAGACAATCAAACGTACGAAATGAAAAGATGAGTTACATTATCTTGATCAGTCTATGGAAAACTCGCGAACGTTTTTAAAGGCGACATACCGCAATGTTTAAAGAGGAAGGTGTTTGATCAGTGTGTGTTGCCAGTCATGACCTATGGAGCTGAAACGCCAACACTGACCACAGCAAGTGCTAAGAAACTGAGGGTAACACAGCTCAAGATGGAAAGCTCGGAGTGTCACTGCGGGATCATATAAGAAATTAATATTTACGAAGAAGAACCGGCGCCACAGATGTAGTTATCCAAATTCGCAAAATCAAGTGGAAGTGGGCCGGACATGTGGCACGAATGACGGGCGGGAGATTAACGAAAATGCTGCTCGAGTGGAGACCGCGCTTGGATAAATGAAGAAAGGGAAGATTTCCTACACGTTGGACGGACGATATAAAATGATGTGCAGGCAACTGGATACAGATGCTCAAGACAGGAGAATATGGGCAGAGATGGGGGAGGCTTATGTCCAGCAGTGGACCCAGACAGCTGAATGATGACAATGCTGATGATGATAGGTCACAATAACAACTACTCAAATATGTATACTAAAGGGTGTTTTTTTTAGAGAAATAGAACTGAATGAAAATAAAACTCATAAAATTCATGTTAAGGTCATGATGGCGTCTTTATCAAAAGACCCCATTGCCATTGTAGCTTAGCTATGACTTGGGGTATAATGCGCCGCATCTGGCTCAAATAAGGAGTAATCTGGAAGTCCAATTTCGACCACTTTCAAACTTCTTCCAGACCATAAAGCACAAAAAACAGTGAATAACTGCATATAACGGGTCTCAATAATGGCTTCGTGATTTTCGTCGCTCCAAATCCGGCAATTTTGTTTATTTACGCAACCATTGAGACAAAAACGATTACGTCGACCGCAAAATAAACGTAGCTCACTGCGAGTTTGGCGAACTCAACAGAGATTTTCGAAATAAATTGCCGAATTTGGAGCGGCAAAAATCTAAAACCTAAAAGACATTATTGAGAAGCCATTATATTCAGAAAAACTCACTCTTTGAGGTCCTCCTTTTGTGGTCCAGGGGAATCAAAATGGTCAAAAATTGGTCTTCTTTCGTGGATTGCTCTTCATTCGAGCCAGTCACGGCGCTCATATGCCTCAAATAATATTTAACTTATAATGGCATACAATTGTCTTTTGAATGAATTTTGATGAAATTATTTAAAAAAACATTTCAATCAATTCAAGCTCTAAACCTCTAAAAAACCACCCTTTATTATATAATTAGATACTTTAAAGTAAAAATGAAGTGGAGGACGACCACAGAATGATAAAAATTATTTTCCGTCTTCACTAGAAAAGTGAAAAAGAAGTTTTGGACTTAATAATAAATTGGCACTTGGGCACCAGTGTAAGGAAATTTTCACCCATATAAGCAAATACTACTGTTCATGAAATTATTAAAGAGCAACTACTCTACCCGTTTTATGTTCAGAAAGTGCATGTGTCATGCTTGAGACCATCCTGCCAGAGTAGAAATTTGCGGATCATTTTTTGATAACCTGGGCTGCTCATGTTCATGCAAAATCCACATGCATTTGTTGACAAAAAATAAAATTTAACTATTATTAACATATGAACGAACACAGCAATTGACGCTCAACCAGACAAAAATAAGATGCTTTCAAGCTGAACGACTAAAACTTTATC